CGAGGATACAATGTAGGAAGCACTTTAAGATTAACCAATTATTAGTGATTTTATCACACATTGAAGGTCAGTGCTCAAGGTATGGATAACAAATAATAAAAGAAAAGATAATTTAAAAAAATTTCTTAAATCTCAACATTGTGTGCTTCACACATTTAGCTACATAATTTCAGGAAAAGTTATATTTCTATCTGCCCGAGATGCTGGGATATCCCTCCTGCAAATTTTCAACAAGTAAAAAAATTGTGTTTTGTGAAAACGGTGTTCTAGAGTCGACTTCAGCGCACATTCGGCCTGCATAGACATTATAAATTGATTTATAGCTTAAATATTCATCCACGAAACTAGAAATCTGATAGATTAGTAAAGCAACAGCTGTAGAGGTCAACATCACCGTTTTTAAAAGAATGAAGTTTTAGGAACTTTTTGCCTCCAAAGACTCATGTCTCCCGTTACTCAAACCAGTATGCATTTCTTTGAGACCCCGCCCCCCTTGTCAGATCCACTAAGTATAAATTCTGCTCAACATTTTTATACAGAGACAAAAATCGTTAAGGCTGAGCAACATTTACAGCAGGACAAACACCGGGAAAGCGGCGCGTCACTCGTTGCATTGCGGGCTGAGCAATTTGCGATAAAAGCGTCGCGGTTTTGTTACTTTGAGGAGCCGAGACTTGGCACGGCTCCCTGCTTTCTCTTTCTTTGTCTTCTTCGACGAGTATGGAGGGATGCCACGACTTGGCACCTGTTTCGAGACAATGGGAGGCCCCCCCTCCTCCCCCCCCCCCCTGCCCTCCTCTTCTTTCTCCCGGGGCCCCAGTGCGACGTTCTCCGGCGGCAGGAAGGTGTCTTTGCTCGGATTTTTTGGCCACCCGGCCGTGACTCTGCCGTAAAGCGTGGTGGTGAGGTGTGACGCGACTCATGGAGTGGTCCAGCTGGACGGCACGACAGGTCTGAAAACGCCTTGGCTCGTTTCTGACTCCCTTCTGACTCCCTTCTGACTCGAATTCATGTCAGCCAATTGCAACGAAGCTTCCAGTCTCGCTTGTCGCTCGGAAGTGTTGTTGCACGTTGGGTACGCAAGTCCCGGCTATTACTCGTGAGCAGATTGCAACGTCCAAGACGGAGGTAAACAATTATTATTTCGGTTTGTTCGGTCGTTATCCGTGCTCACTCCGACTCCCTCGCAAAGCGCCTGTCATGCGCCTGTCTTTGCGATCGTTCTTGTCGTTCCAGATGGCAGTCTGTCTTCCATGCCGTATTCAAATCCGAGATTCCTGTTGTCTCGCAGCTCTAGATGACAGCCACCCACAGAATCTTCTCTCCTGCCGTTGCGGTTTGGAGAGATCTTCCACTATCGCTTTTGAGTTTCATTCTGGCTGAACCCCCTTGCTGCCATGCGGTTGGCATGATCCCTCGTGCCCGATCGCGTTAGGTTCAAAGTTCCTAGCGTAATATGTAACGCTTCGGGGAAATTTTATGGGAAGCATTATTTGGCTAGGTGTTCGGCATTTTGTGAAGCCTGGATGAAAGTGTGGCACGAGGCTTGGCAGCGATTGGTTTTGAGTTGGGAGGGAGGGAGGGAGGGAGGGGTGGGGGAAGGGGGAGGGGGGTGGGTGGGTGGGGGGGGGGAAGAAAGGAGGGAGGGAGGGGAGGGGGAGGGGAGGCCATCGCAGTAAGAAAGCATTTGCACCAGGTGGGAATCGAACCAAGACCATTTAGAATATTAGGCAAGTGTCTTTCCTGCCTGTCACGACAGATCGCAGCGAGTTGAAGTGCAATTGGGCGGGAAAGACTTGCGGGGCATCCGCTCCACGTCCGGCAGATAGCAACTTGATGCCCTGTCACATGTCTTTAAGACCCAGGTTAGCGCCGGTATCTCCTTTCCAAAAATTGCTATGGAGTGTACATGCCACGCGTTAAGCCAGTCGCTCAACTAACCGATGAAGAGCGCCGAAGGCCTAGACACGACACATTTCACGTGCAACGCAGTTGCCCAGCAATTTGCTATGCATTTTACAAAAGGCATAGAATGAAGCGAGTGGCACTCTGAACTCAAAAGCCCATTCCTTTCTTCCTTTACTAATGCCAGACTACCAGACAACATCCGAAACCAACAAGCATGTGCTCCGTGCAACATGTAGCCGAGGTCGGCAGTGCACGTAAGGAATATGACCAATCGCAAGACAGCGTCTCAACTTCCCCACGAGCATTTGACCACAAAGTCCCGAGCCCTGAGACTACTGGTGTTGTTTTCTCCTTCTTCCTTTTTTGTTTTCTACTATCCCTGGGGAGACACTGGTACTATGGAACAATATGTATACTGCAAAATCCTATTTGTTGAAATATTTCTTAATTATACATTGATGACATACTCAAAAAGTGCTCATTTATTAAAGCATAAAATGCACTTTAACAGAACCCCCAATCCCAACTTTTTTTCTGTCTATTCGTTACTTTCTTGCTAAATTTGGTGGGGAAATTGACACCACGTGACCTTGCATCACGTGACCTATATACCAATTTAGATTCCCATGCCAAATTTAGCTGAGAAATTCATAAAGAAATAAGGTCCTCATTCCCAAAATGGTTGTTTAATGTCTTCGGACACATTTAAACTTTTGCTTCTTAAATACCACATTTCATTCACTATAGGTCTTTAAAGATAAAGGCCACTGCCCATTTTTTTAGTTACATCTATTCAAAGTTGCACGTTCAGGCACTTTACGAACATGTTTAGAAAAACTTTTCTACTTCTCTCAGAATTATTTTTTTTTTATTTTTTTATTTTTTTATTTTTTTGCGTAGTTTTGTTTACGGTGTTTTTGAACCAAGAGTTCGGATTGGAATAGTGATATTTTGGGAGCTTGGATACCTCGTAAATTGAACGGTGCAATGAGACTAAAACTTTTGGAAAACTTGTGCTGTAAGATTTACTAATGCTTTAATGACTTATTGCTAATTGTTAGTGAGGCTTTCAACATGATATGATGTTTTTTCTAGACTAAAATTACAAGAAGGGTTTTGTTACATTCTACCGTTTGTGGAATGTGCAGACATACTTTGTATCATAGTTTTTGAGGTGGGTATTCTAGAAGGGGCAGAAGCATTTTGCCATGAACTTTTGAGTGAAAAGCTCACACTTGTACGCACAAAATTATCATAGCTGTGAGAATTTTGGGTGAGGTAAGGTTTTGAAAATGAAAATAATAAAGTGGGTTCTAAATATTTTATAACTGAAGTAAGGCTCATAAAATTTAATAGAATTGTTATCAATCATATGCAGTTGCATATGTATCTTTTTTTTTTATCAACTATGCAGTATTCTACATTCAAATATTTTGCACAGTTGTGTGATTTTTGAGCTTGAGTTTTTAGTTTATTATTAAGCATGCAAGAACACGGGAGATTTTGGCCTACCAAATTTGAAAACTCTGCAATTAGCAGTTGCTTTTTCTTTTTTTTTTGTAAAAAGGTACAGATACAAAACGCACAAAATAACACAAATTTTAGTTTATCTTTATTTTTTTTTTTATGTATCTAACATTTATTGATAAAAATTCTATGGAACATCATGAGCTTTTAATTATGAAAATATTAGAATTGACTTATTATTATCATTTTCAAACCTTAAAGTGGCGGCGTAATGGTTTTCGGACTTCGGTGAATTAACTGCGGGATATAGTCTGTGTCACTTATAGAACAAAGAACAAAAGACTACTTTTGCTTGCGCACGCAACTTAAAAAAAAAAAACAAAAAAACATGAAAGAAATCAAATGTTAGAGTACCCCTCAGCTCTCACGACGTGTTTTGAGTGATGTCGCTGGGGTACCATTTCATGGTCCTTGGTCACTCCCTCTGCAATCGTCAATATTATAAGGATTGGCATCGCCGAACGTCACAGCAAGCAATCGAGACAGTAGACAGCTCGCCACGGGGCTGACGGCGATCATAGCAGTGGAGGGGTGTACTGGTTTTGTTGACTTCTGTGTACTAGAAACAACGGAACACCACAGTTCCCGTAACCGTCACACGCAGCTGCAGATCGGCAAATAATGCATTTTCTTCTTTGCAAAGGTGTAAATTGGTTAAAGGCCGACGACCAGACTCGAGATTCTGCAAGGCAGAAGATCCTCGTCACCTTGGTGGAGGAGGAAACAGGCAAGGGTGGACAGGGTAGAAGGGGGGAGAGGAGGAAGCGGTGGAAAAGTGGAAAGCGCGAACTGGTCGGTCGGTCTTTAAGGGAACAGCGGCAGAACATCGGCTGCTCATTGCAGGAAAAGCCAGTGCAGTGTAGCTTTCAACACCACAACCATCCTTGCCATTAACAACATTCCTCGTGCACGCTAGACGCTTGAGGCGCTCGCCATTGAGGAACACACGGAAGATTGCGTCACAGCCCGAACAACAACAGCACGAGCTTGTTGCGGGTGGGTTGAAAAACTAATTTTTAGGAATTTCTGTGTAATTTTTTTGTATAATTTTGTTTAAGTGTAATTATCAGTAGCAATCTATCAGTGCAAGTAGTTTATTTATGTACGTAATAAGTTTTTCGTGCTCTACTATGGCAATGAATGAAGAGGCAAATGCGCAGGGAAGAAGTTTACACTAAAAGATTGTTGGTAGTCAGCTGTTTGTCCTCTCCTGTCCTTTCTTTCTTCGTGTTCAAGTACAATTCTAAAGTTCAAGCTTATTTATTTACAAAAATGCGAAGGTCGCACATTTTTTCTCACTTTTGCCTACAGTAGGTGACAGGTTAAAACTTCGGGCTAAGCTCCTCCGAACTTTTTCTACTTTAGCGCAGCGAATGCTGAAGAGGAGCTCACCTCTTCACCAGCGTTTGCTCTGCTAAAATGGAAAGAGGTGGGAGGAACTTTCCTTAAAGTCCTAAGCTGTCACTAATCGTAGATAAACGATATGAAAGGATGCAACATGCAAAATCTTTCGACATTAAAAACGTCCTATTGCCCCTTCAACGTGGATTTGAAATGGCTCGCAGGCGGCCAAGGCCCTGGCCCTGGTGCGCCAGAGCCGAACCCCGGAGTTCCGCTTTCGGCTGGTGCTGTGCGTGCTGCTGGTGAGCATCGTGAGCGTGGTGGTGCTCACCTGGCACCTGCACGAGGCCTTCCAGGAGGCCATGCGCCTGTCCACCAAGTCGGACTTCGCCTCCCAGACGCGCATCCTGCGCCTGCTTGACAGTGGTGGACGCACCCTGCTCAGGGGCGACCTGGGACAGGTGAGTGCACTCTCGGCCGGCCGCTCCGTTGGTTCGCCCCGCCTGGGGTTGGGATTGCAGTCCTAGCAGGAACGCGGCTCGGACTGGTGCATTTATCGCATTCTCAAAAGCGGTACTTCGACTTCCGCCCGATAACGTCGGAGAAGTGTCACGCCATCACCTGCCGCCGTGCTGGTGGTGTCACGGCTACAATAAAAAGATGTAGCTGACACCTGTTTTACTGCAGATCACTCTACTGCCTGGAAGTTCATGGAAGCTTTGGCGATTAGGAGTTGGGGCGCTGCAGCGACGGCGACACTCACATTCACTCGTACTGGGCTCGTTCGGTTCACCTGCACCTCCAACACCAGCTGCATTCTGCACACCGCCATACTCTATTTACGAGCACGACCTCTTTGGAAACACAACCAGAAGTACACAACCCCGCACTTTCCCGCACCGCTCTGCACTTTTCCGCACCAGCGCAGGCAAATCAAACGAGCGCATTTTTTGACAGGACTTCTTGCACCGACCGCCAGGATCGCAACATCCAACAGCTCGATGCGCTGCCATTTGTTGCCACTTTGGGTCCATTTTGGATGCGTGAACACGACAGGACGTTAAATGCGCCGGTCGAAGACGCGTTCTGGCTTTCCAAGTACCATAACGGCGGCTTCCTTGCCGAAGGCACAGCTCGCCGTGCCCCAAACCGGAACCTCCCTTCCCCAGGTGATCCCGCCCGCGTTGGAGGCTCATGTGTGCCCCCTGCTCCACCTGGGCTACTGCTTCGAATGGAAGTACCGGGCCCGGCTGGAGATCAAGCTGGAACCCCAGAGGGAGGCCGAGGTCGTCTGCTACTCGGTCCACTGGGGAGCCACCTCGGTCCACACGGAGCTGGTCGACTGCTACGCCCTGGACGGTGCCGAGTGGTTCGGCATGGGGGAGGTGCACAACCTTAGCTGGCCCCTGTCCAACCTCCAGCTGTCCATGCGGCCCTTCGAGACCGGCCGGGCGGACCCCCTGGGCTCGGTGCTGGAGCCCTACTGGCTCTCGTCACGGGGGGTCTCCATCGTGGCCCAGACGGGCCAGTCGCTCATGTTCAGCTTCAACGCAACGGGCAGCAACCGGCTGTGCCTGGCGGCCAAGGAGGAGCTCAACTACACGCTGTGCACGGGTCCGGACGTGTTGGCCATCCATCGAGCGTCGGCCGGGCGCCTGCGCCGGCCGCCCGAAGGCAACTTGACGGCGGACGAGGAGACGTTCGTCAAGCACCCGGTGCTCGTGCCGCGCCCCGGCGAGGACGGTAACCTCACCCAGGTGGGGCCTTGGGGAGCGGGGAGTTTGCGTGATAGTCTAGAGCAATGGTTCACAAATGGGGGTCCGTAGACCTCTTGGGGTCCCTGAAAGATTTTTTTAGGGTCTGCAAAGCCCTCGGCTGTCGGAAAAGTCGTGCAATTAAACTTTTTGTTTTATTGATAATGGCAGTTCAAGCCGTATGTGTCCTGTGAGTAAGGTTGATTATTCTCCATTTCAAAGCTTCAAGATAAAGTTTGTATGCAATTAGTTTTCCTCATTTACCCTTTTGTCATAGTAATTGCACAATATGTCTCCCCCGCCTGAATGGGGTCCTCTATCATAGGATAAAGTTGGTGTAAACAAAAAGTGTTTTCACGGCATTCTTTTGGGGTTTGTAGTGGACATTGCAGTTTTTTCTTCTTTGGTTATATTGGGTTAATTTATTGTGAACCCTGTCCTTTTATATGTCATGGTGGGCACGCCTTGGATTTTTAATTTCTTCCCATAAACTGTATGTACGCTGGTTTCCGGCTATTGGCGTTTGCATTCTAGTAGTTAGTGAAGACCACCGCGGTAGATACAAAGCCAGCTAGCTTTGCGTCTACCCACTAATTGGAACAGTGGTAGAATGTTGAACTGACAATTAGGGGGTCATGACTTCGATTTCCATTGGGGTGCATTTAGAATTTTCGTTCTGTCTTCTCAGTTTACTCCCACTTTTGTACTGATTCTACTCTAAAGTATGGGTCAGCCACTTCATAGCGCTTTCTGTGGTGTTCCGTCGCACTTTCTTCGGGGACCCCAACCCTTAAATACATGCTGCGTTGAAAAACGTTTTATTGCTCAACTTGACTGGTAGTCGAGGCGTTCGGAGACCCCAAGTTCCTAGGGACTCCCATTTGAGAACCACTATTCTAAAATAACGCACAAAAATGTTCTCCGGAATAGGTTTTGTGAAATTTTGTGTCTTTTGGTTCCGTTTTTAACGAAACTCTATTCTCTTACACGAAAAAAAGACTCGTTTGGCGGTAGCTTCCTCTAACCCTAACTTCGCATGTTCCTTGCTGCCTGCATGCGGGTGACCATACCTCTGTGCATTTCTCGCTGTGTGCATGCAGGTGACGGTGCAGGAGTATGCGAACCGCTTCGTGAGCCACGGCTTCAACGGGGGCTTTGTCCTCATCCGGGACGGCTGGCAGCAGACGCAAGGGGACCTGTCTTTCTGGAAGGAGGCCTTCCCACACCCAGCCGAGATTGTGCGCATTCTGCACAACAAGGGCAACCGGGTGCTGCTCGACGTGCACCCCTACTTCTGCCTCAACTCGAGGAACTTCAGGTGGGCTGCCGCCCTCCCCGGCGGGGAGCGAAGGCGCGAGCGAGATGCGGCAGGTTGTAAGCACCGCCGTTGGTGTTTTCGAGAAAAAGAATGAGAAAGAGAGCGGCGGAGAAGCAGCAAAAGAAGGCAGACGACGGGTTAGGTGCATCAGTCTCTCTACGATGCGTCAGTCATCCAATTGCTCGTCATTGTTTGTTTTTCTCCATAGGGCAGTTTGACGAAACGCCTTTTATTTTGGTAAGTCATGTTCAGCCACGTTGATGTTCGTGCTGACGATTAGTCATTTCCTCGTTTTTTTGGTGTCCGTGAAATGGGCAAGCATGGCGAGTTGCTCCGGACAACAGAGCCTAGTAAGTATGCCCGGTGATATATTGTGGCCGATAAACGCATGCTGCCTCCGCTTTTTCTCCCTCTTAAGGTGGGACTAGGGTACTTAAATATGTTTTTTTATTTATCGAGATACCTTGTGAAAGTTGGCATGCATATGTATCACTGGATGGTGATTTCAAATCTGCAGTTGAATTCCAGATATCTCTTTTAGAACAAAAGATATGCAAAATATAAAACTCCAATAAGGTAATTTTTTACGGGTCGTTATGGTAATTTCACATCAAAAAATTTATATTTTAACAATATGCAGTGATTTCCAAGGGTTCACCATATATCCTAAAGCTAATTGAATGTTTATAAAGCCATTTTGTCTACCAGAAATAAATCATGGAATTTCAAAGCAAAAACTTGTCACTAGATAATCCATGTTTCAGCTAATTACTTTTGATCTATTGATTCTAGATGAAAAAGAAAAGCTTTAGGATACACCTCAGTTGTTACTGAAAACAATGATACCAAGCTTACTGAAATCCGCCCATGCAAACAGTATGAAAACTTCCGTAAGGCAAGGGCTCTAGACAAAAAAAAGACAAAGCTGAGAAAATCGCACTTGAAATTTCTTCGATGTTGGCACTTTTATATATCAAGTCTAGAGAAAAAAGAAAAGATTTAGGGTGCAGTTCAGTTGTTGCTGAAAACCACAACACCAAATTTATTGCAATCGGCTTATGGAAACATAATCAAAACCTCCGTAGAAAAATGGCACCTGACAAAAAAAACAAAACAACATGAAACCACGAAATCAGTTGAGTAGTATCCGATGTGCGCACACGGTCATAGCAGTCCTGGGCTGTAGTCCTGGGTCCTGGCAGGCTTGTTTCTCTTGGCCATCCTCTTCTTCACCTTTTCACTCTCAGAGTGAGCCTTGTTGGCCTTGCGAAGCATAGGTCGGCATTTTAGAGCCCCTTCATTCAGCATCACATCACAAACAAAATCACGTCTCCAATTTCATTCGCATTCATGTCACAAGGTACTCCGACATCCCAAAGTCACGGCCCTTAACAACCCGGCGTTGAACCGCGCCAAAACTTCATCCCCTTCACATCACAGCGTTCAACCACGCCAAGAATTCATCCCCATCACATCATCGCCGCCTCCGAATTCACGGAGTCATTCACAATCACGTCACCAATTCCCAAAGTCATTCACCATCACCACGAATTCATAATTCACCATCGTGAATTTATCGGAATTCATCATCACATCATGAATTCATCCGAATTCACCATCACTTCACGAATTCATCCGAATTCACCATCACCTCACGAATTCCTCCGAATTCACCATCACTTCACAAAGTCACCCGAATTCAACATCACATCATGAATTCATCCGAATTCACCATCACATCACGAATTCATCCGAATTCACCATCACATCATGAATTCATCCGAATTCACCATCACTTCATGAAGTTATTCACCTTCACGGTCAACACAAATTCACCGGAAATCCTCATGACATCATGAATTCTGCATAATTCACAAACTCATTCGGGTTCATTCTGACTAAATTCGACTTCACGGCTGGTAGCCCTTCACGAGTTCGCAGTTCTTGCGGAATAGGACTCTGGCGCCTTTTTGTGTCAGCCACTTGAAACCAGAACCTGACTCCGCCAGGGAAGTGGGGTATTCGAGTGCGCGAAATGCAAAGCACATTGGTAGAGCGCCAACCCAGCCAATGCCGCGCTGCGATCGTGTCATGTGAATGTGCTCCATGCGCCGCCATGCAGAACCGGCAGGTCACGTGATATGGTCTCGGCGCCGGATTAGGTGCGCCTGCTCGTGACGTCGGCTTCGGCTTCGTCTCTTTTGAAACGATATATGGCTGCGCCGCGTAGACGAAGCGGCGCCTGCTGCTACTAGTGCCCGCGGACAGTGCGGCTGCGCCACGCACGACTCACGATTGAAACGGCACAGCGAGAGCCTTCAGGGATTCCGGACAATATGCTCCGAGGCACGAAAGGGCAAGGTCGGCAAGGAGCTCAATTTATTCACGAGGAACCGCTAAAGAACAACGGCAAAATTAAATGTCAAGTGCCAAAGGAAACGACTAGCCTGCCCCGCCCGCCCCCCCTTTCTCTCATTGCCGCTGCACCCGCACTTCCCTTGTAAACAGCTGTTACTACGGAAGTGCTCGACAAAGGGCCACCGCGCTGAGGCGCGCACAGCTGCGCAGCGAAACTGGTGCCCAAACCGCTAAAGTCAAATGGGTTCCTGTGGTTTGCGGTGAAGGATGAAAACAACCGGCCAGCAGGCAAGCAAGCAAGCACCTGCGTAGCACGTTTTCCGCCCCTTCTGAATTCATAACCGTATTCACTATCATGTCGAGAATTAAGTTCACGGTATTACTCCCATCACAAACTTATCAAGTTTACGAGCCACGCACATCCCAAATTCATTGTGTTCACGAGCCATTCACCATTACGTCACGAATTCATTCAGTCATTCACATCACAATGAATCCTATTCACTTCACGAAGTCCTTCACAATCACAACACATCATGGTTAATTCAAATTCACGAAGTCATTCACCATCACATCACGACTTCATTCAACATCACATTACGCATTCATTCAAATTCACAAAGTCATTCACCATCACATCAGGACTTCATTCACCATCACACCACGAATTCATTCAGATTCACAAAATCATTCACCATCACATCACGACTTCACGACTTCATTCACCATCACATCACGAATTCATTCAAATTCACGAAGTCATTCACCATCACATCACGAGAATTCATTCAAATTCACAAAGTCATTCACCATCACATCATGAATGTTCTCAAATTCAAGAATTCATTCAGAGCAATTCAGATTCACGCCGTGAATGTGAATGAAGGTGAATGAGCGAGTTCATGAATGAATTTGCCGAGGTATGTTGCGAAGCCTCCGCCTGTCCTTCTCAAGACTCCTGCGAATCAGGCAGCTACCTGTGCTGTAGCCAAGCTGTGCTGCTACAGCCTTGCTCCTCTTGGCCATTCCCTGGTTGAAGCGTGACACGGCTTCAGCGACAGCTCTCTCCACTGACAGCAGAGAGTCATGTGTGTTCTTAGAGTTCTGGCCCCAGATCACAGAGTGTAGGCACCCTATGGCGTTCTGCGTCATGCCATCACTGCAGCGCTTCAGGAGTGCCCGGTCGCCCAGCCTCTCAAAGACTGGCTCCAGCGCAGTGCGAATGAAGCCTGGCAGTGGGTTCTTGTGTGGTGGTGGCTCCTCAAGGTTGGCCAGTGCCCGGTTGTAGGAGCACCAGGAACTGTCCCCTTCGGGACAGTGGCTGTGTTCCGGGGCTTCATCTGTCGACGTCATGTGCAACAAAGTTGCTTGCACTGCCCTTTCCATCCCTGGCACATCATGCTTGTGGCTTCTCAAGGCGTACCCATAGTAGTAATTTTTTTTATCTTGTCCTGGGTCAGCTTTCCCTTTCCTCCGAGCGACTCTCCCTGTGCCTTCTTCTTCTCCACCGGGGTACGAAGAGCTGCTCCCATCCGCTTGTGTACATGGTTCAGGCAGTCTTTTTTTTCTCAATGTCGAGGTATCCATAGACGCTGTCTTGTGTCAGGGCATGGAAGGTGCGGCTGTCACCATCGGAAAGGATGGTGGTGTAGCGCAGTCCATTCTTCGCCAGGGACCGCCTGAACAGAATGAGGGCTGCCTCGGTTTCCATACGTTCTGCGTTGCAGTCAATGTTCTTCATGCACTTGTGGTTGATCACCCAGTCCCCATAGCTGTCGTCATCTGGGTCAGGTGCACCCTGGCAGCCACGGCAGTACCTTGAGAGGACAACGTGGTCCAGCACCAGGCCAGTGTACAGCTCGAGGATGCACCCCACTGCGATGTTGGAGTTGTGTCCGCGCGTCTTCCATGTGCCGTCAAAAATCATATCTATGTTTCCGGGAGGATTGAGGAAGCTCTCGTAGACGCCCTTCACCACCTCAACACTCGCTGCTTCTGTGGCTGTTGCTGCTGCCTGGCAAGCCTGCACCATGGTGTCCATGCGTCCCCTGACCGTCTTATGATGAAGCCCTCGGAGGGAGAGGTTCAAGGTTGCACAGAAGTCTGCAAGTGCAGTCGCCCCCTTTCCTATGCTCTGTATTCCCTTCATCGCCCTCAAGTTGATCTCGAAGGGCGTAATCTTGGCTTCCCCGGCAACTCGTGGAGAAGAAAATCGACTCTCAGCGAAATCGCAGCTCGAACACGTAAAGACCAACTTCACTGCCAGGCCGTATTTCCTCTCTTCGCACTTCGAAAGTCCTACGGTAGCCATTCCGCACTTGCCGCATGCCGTGGACGCAAAGAGTTCTTATAGCACTGTCATGTCCACGATGACGTACTCCGTGCCGCGGTCGGTGTCGTCACTCTTCATGCAGACGTCGAGGAGCTCAAACTTCCGTGAAGTCGTCGACTGACGTGCCAACGAAGCCTTTCTGTCGTCTGCACGTTGTTCGCGCTCCACGCACTCCTCCTCCGTGTAGAACACAGTGTCGATTCGATCCCTAGACGAACTTGGTCCAGCCACGTCCACGAGCGGAAAAGCGGCTTGAGGCATCGGCGAAGCTGTCGAACACAAATTCGGTCCAGTCGCATCCACCAGCGGTAGAGCGGCTTGCGGCATCGGCGAAGTCGAAAGTGTTGTGTTCCTCGATGCCGAGGTCTTCTTGTTCCAGCCACGTCTCCTCTTTGTGTTTAGTCTTTGCGTGCTGGCCTTCAAACGGGCGTCCCCAGCCATCAGAACTCGAAGCGTGCAGGCAGAACGAAACAAAGAACTACGACGCAGGAGGGCAAATATATACGAAAAGGGAAAGCTAAACAAAGTGGAGGTATCAAAATATTTACATGAACGATGCGAAGAAGACAGGGAACATACAAAAACACTAGGAAGCACAAGAAAAACACTGAAAATATTGATATAGAAAGTGGAGAAATGCGAAGGCAGCGTGCGTCTCGAACGGCGGAGCGAGCGAAAGCAGACGACACGGGAGCTTGCGGAGCGACTGGGACCAGAGACCGGGACGACGCTCCGGGGAAGCCAGGAGAGGAGGCGCGCGTTTCGGCCAATGAGAGAGCTGCACCTCGGAGAAGTGCGCGCTTTGCCCAATCAGCGTCTTTCCTAGCGCTGGTGACGGCCTTTTGTGCGGCATCGATGACGTCGTGGCCTTGAGGGGTACACCGCCTTGGAGCGCGGGAAAAATAAGCGCGGGAAACCAGCTTTCGAACAAGACCAAGATGGCTCCGATCGGATGAGCCTTTGCGGAGCTTCGACGGCTTGAAGTTTTAGAGTTTAGGCTTGAAGTCAGGTCTGTCAACGCTTACAAATTGTCATTAGTTTCATATTTAGAGATCGAATTGAGCATTTATATTTTGTGAGGACATACTCTGGACTATGTAGACCTCAAAACCGTGAACTTTGAAAAAAGGAATTTTTCGCGATTTTTTTATATTCTATGACCCGCGTCCCCCCTTCAAGTCTCCTCGGTGGCATTGACTGGAGCCATTTTGGCCACCGACATGTTTCACGTCTCTATCGCTGGCTCGTCTAAAGTTAAAATGAAGGCCGGGATGTGTAAAGGTTGAGTAGCAGTCTATGCTCTTTTATGTTTTTCATTACTCTACCTGGTGCAGTTGATTGCGACATGAAGCGACTCGAGGGATCTGGAGAACATTGCCTCCGCACGTAGAAAGACGTAGGGCGAAAGTGGTCAAACGTGGTGTCCAGAGAGATTTTGAGCTGGAAGTGTATCGTGGGAAACTGCCCTATTCGCCTCGAGACGGAACCGTGGCGCCACCGTGCGGCCGAAATTAGAAATATGCGAAAGCGGGGATACTGCTGTGCGTCGTCTGCTACGGGCACACGTTCAGAAGCATGGATCTCGACGATGCAAGCCCGTTTCTGGCTGAGTTGAGCCCTCCTTATTAAATGCTTGTTGTTTTTGTTGTTGTTTCTTCCTACTAAAGCTTGTGTTGTATCATTTCACATGCGTGGAAATTCAGCAAAGTAATTATTATTAAGTCAGATGCTTCTATAACCTTAGTGTTGTGGTTTGTATACAACTGCTGGTCCCACATAGTTTTGTTATCTCGCACAAACCGTAGCTTTCATAAAACATTGAATGTTTATTGGAGCTGTGGTTTGATTAAAACATTAATCCGACTGATCGCCACCCTTCAATAGACTATAATCAATTGATAAATCTGTTAGTTGATTTTTCACCAGTCGTATTGCATGAAAGGCGTTAAAACTACTTTTTTTATACAATGTTATAAACGGCACATTGCATTCCCATTTCAAACTTCATGTTCTGACGCCTACAGAAATATGAACACGGTAAACCTCATTTTTTTTCTTTCTCTTTCTCGAGTACAAGAGTCCAATTAAACGGCAAAAAGAAATATCACAATTAAAGCATCACTCGAATAATCTGAAGGTTAATCGATGAACTGCCCAGTCCTGATATGCATTAGGTGAGGGCAAAGGGTGAGAAAAACGTCTCGTGAGAGTCGCTAGCCTTCACCAGTAAAAGAGTGTCGCTGCGGCCGACGCCATCTCTGTCATGGCGCGGGTCATTTGTTGGAGTTGCAGAGTCTGCTATGTTTGAATAGAAGATTATTTAGCCAGAAATGTATAATATTAGCCTTTTGACATCCGCGGCCCTTACAGAGAAAATTGAAGCGGGTGAGCCCACACTACCGAGAAAAGCATCTAATATAATGCATTGCTCAGTTACACCCGTTTGTTCCGCTCGCGGAAGATATATTAGAATAGTTTGTTTCACTTGTTTCCATTGTCCTGTCAGTGAACAGTTTGCGGATCGTAACTAAAAGAGGCCCTCTCTCCTCATCGCAATGTAATAGAATTGTTCCCACTCTGAGAAACTTGCCCACACCATGGCACAGTAAAGGAAAAAATGTGCTGCAGCGGAACTCAACAGCACGGTAATTCGCGATGCAGCACTAATTTCTCTTCATGCTAAATATTTATATTACAGCAAAAGCTGGAAGCTTCAAAACAAAAATGCATAGAACCTGCGATTTCACAGCCCACAGTACCCGTATTATGTTATTCGGGTTGGAATTCATTGTTTTGTTGAATTCCCACGCTGGTGAACCGATACATTTACGTTAAAAGAAACAAATATTTAACATAAATACAGTTCACTCGGAGACAGGCATCCATCGTGGTCCACATGAGCGATTATTTAAATTTAGGTCGTACTCTGGTAACACCTTTTGGTCTTCACTCAAGCACCAAACGGTACCGCACAATTTTGCTCTAAAATTGTTTTCCCACCAATACTGTGCGACAAAATAAGCGCAAGAATCTACAATGCCTTGCATTAGAACGTGGAGGGCCTATGGGGTGGCCATGCTTCTATCCCATCCTTGATGATGATGATGATGATAGTGCAACAGTAGCGCCACCTCTAGGTCGATCTCAAGGCCAATGGGGGACTGGATGCCACAATTGAGTGCAAGTGTTCATGGTGCATGCTGTGAACAGCACATTCAAATATGGCATTCGGTCGGCTTTTTGATCCTGTAGATCGTAGTTTCCTTGAGAGAGAAACAATTACTGGTCGAATGCAGCCTCTTTAGCTCGACTCGGTGTGACGGGAGTAATGCCTTCGAAGGCCCAGAAACCTCAATATTTACGTCCCTGGGCCCAAGAAAAAAAGCCCTAAATGCACGCATGAACTAGCACGCCGATATGGTAGATGTGGGGTGTGTGTTTACGAGCTGCTTGTCCTTTCCGCCTTTCAATCCGTGGGAAGGTGACGATCACGGTCTGTCTTCAAACCATAACGTGCCTGGCCCGAGTGTTCGTTTTCCTCCCGAACCCTCGCTTTATTGCGTTCCTGGTGCTCGGAATGTGTGTCCTTGGTTTTGTGTGCGCAGCGCCCCGTGCTGGCTTCACCTCATTCGAACTGGGTTGTAGCAAAGGGGTGGCCGAATTGCCAGGGTAGCTATTTATTGAGCCGTCAGAGTGGAGCCAGTATAACAACATCTTTAATCCTCGATGGCAGACCGCAGCCGGCCGCACGCGCTCCGGGCACCCGACGAGTGAACGTCGTCGTCCTTCTCGACCCAGTTCACGACACAGAGCACTCTGCACGCAGGGCGGCCATGGACGGGGAGTACCTGCTGGCGGACCAGAGCAAGGTGCCGCTGCTGACCCGCTGGAACGGCAGCCTCTGCGCCGTCGTCAACTTGTTCGAGGACCGAGCCGCCGACTGGTTCCTCGGTCAGCTCGACCAGCTGCGCACCTCGGTGAGGCATTCACTCCCCGCGGTGGACGTTCCGCGGGTGCCCGGCCAACACCACTCGGAAAAAGTGACGGCGACCTTTATCTCTTGACTCCAACAATGCATGAAATGCAGTGTTTAAAGAGCTATCATTGAAACTTGTTTGGACTCTAAACGGTGGTTTCGGAGCGCGAAGAAGAACCTAAGTTTAGCGAGGAAACTGACCTAGGTCAAAGGTAGGGTGACCACCTGTCCTGCGACTCGCGGGACTGTCCCGCATGGAGGGCTCATGTCCCGCTCCCGCAAAAAAAAATTCCCAAAGTTTCAAAATGTCTCGCATTTCATATTGTTGTAAAATTCACTGTACAACTCATGGTGCTGCCGAACAACGGGGCACGGGGAAGCGCAAAGGTCACTGGTAATCGTGTGAATCGCAATGGTACGCCATTTTTTGTCCAAGCGGGAAACGACCGTCGTTTTGGAGGAGAACTGGTGCGCATGCTTCGTTGTGCCACTCCCCTTGGGGGCAAAATAGTGCAGGAAAAATTGCTTGCCAAAAGTTTAAATACAAAATATTGCAATTATTTTCAGATTGCTATGGCAATGCAAAAGGTTTACTGCAGATCTTCTTTTAGTGAAGACAGCCACACGAGGCAAAAGTCCTGCAACTCGCAACGGTCGAAAAAGAAAATTATGTTAAAAATTTGTGTAGGACCGTGTTGATGAAAGTAAGCGTTGACTGGAAACAATAACTCGGAAAAGATTTAATGTTTCTTATTTCGATTTGATGCATTAAGTTCTGCTACAGTCGATTTTTATGTTTTCAACTTCATCACATTTAATAATGCATTTGGCATAAAAAAATATAACTTTTTTTATGCCTTTCGCCAGTACATCTAACTCAAAGTTAGTTTTTTTTTTTATATAATTGTTATTGGCGGAAGAGTTTTTTTTCTTTTTTTTTTTTTGTTTGAAGCTTTGTTTTTTTAAGGGAAACTGCATCTTGGGCAGTATTTTTCAGGCGTTGCAAAGGACTAAATTTGGTTTCAGATAGCATTGACCTCGAGCACAGTTGACGAATGTTGCGCTTTTAATGAAGGTTTGTTCAACCCTGGCAGAATAACTGCATTGAATCTCTCAAAACTACCCCTAAGCTTCTTTGCACTAAACAAAACTTTTCACCTCGACTGCGACGAACAAGAAAAAAGGGGAAAAAAAAAGAAAAGGAGATTGCGAAATGAAGTTGGCACCGCTCGTGTTGCTCCACTCGACGTCTGCAATGAAAGTTTTTGCTGCCGCCGACATCGGAGTTTTGTCTAGACATAAAAGACAGGAAAATCTCGTCTTTGTGTCTGTTGAGCAAGCAGACACATCGTCCGCGTCCGTTGTGTTTTCTGTTCTACATGACCGCGCCTTAAATGTTCAAGTATATTATATTAACAAACTCTTCTCTTTAGTTTTAGAGATGTTTTACAAACCTCGTTTACCGCAGATCAAATTTATAGAAATGACCGCAAAGCAATGAGGTTGTTTTCTGGCTTTTCAAAGTAATTATTTTTTTTAAATATATGACATTAAAATTAGGGCTTTCTGCTGCTTTCAGTTTTTGTTGTTCACTGTTAACCATATGCATCTTTAATTATTGTTGTTGGCATAGATTATTAAAACTGCCATCTTTTTGCCTCGCTTAACAGCCTTGGTCTCGTCTGCATACATTGAGCTGATTGTGCATCAAGAAAAACGCAGGCCGACACTACAACGGGTATAAAAGAAGAAAAAAAAAGTTCAGAAACAAATTTGGTACAACTTTGTGAAAAGTTCAATAGTTCAACCCAGTTCAATAGTTGTAGTTGTAAATGGCTTCACACCGCGCGATAACGTCCGCATGTTTCTTTGTGTTGTCACCGATTATATTTTTTTCAAAAGTTGTGTCTCAAGTAACAAATAAAAATAAGAAAAAATTGTGAAACCTGTTTGCATTCACGTGCCCCACAAATCGAAGGTTTATCGCTCCATGCGCAGCGGAACGCAGCAGCGCGTTGGCATCGCATCTCTCGCACGAAGCGCGGTCACTTGTTTACATGGGGTCTTTGCCGGTCGGGTCACTGCTTTCGTTTTCTCGCCGCTACCAAGATGGTGGACGTGGTTCTTGGCGCACTACTAGATGGCGCTCTACATTTCACATATCGTCTGTTGAGGCCTGCAAATGACCTCGTCTTCTTCCATGAAACATTGTCGCAGTCGGACGGCGCCAACTTTGTAATTGGGCCCGAGCCCAACATTGAGCGACCTTCGACGCGTCCACACTGGACACAAGGCCCAGTCAAGCGCCGATGCGGTGCTCGTGTCCAGTCTGCGTCTGCGCTCTATCTCGCCGTAACGAAGTCGAAACCCGAACGCGAGGCTTTGATTCTTCTAAGTGGTGTTGGTCTGGCACGCTTCCTGACGAACGTATTTGGCGTCCCGCACTGCCCGCTTGACGAAAGCTAGTCCTGGAGTGGCAACGAATTGCGTCGCGGGACTCGGTACGTTATTCTCTTGGGTGCGCGATCCCAGCCGTTGGTCGCAGAAGTTTCAGGGAAACCATCCGGAGAATGCGGGTGTCACCATTGCCGCGACGTTCCAAGTTAAGATTGCTTTAGTTCCCATGGACTGTTGAGCCAGAGAGCGACCTACAGTGGAATGAAAATATGCCGCGTCCACTTGCGCCACTATGCCGCTCACCGCCGGTGTTGCCTATGTTTCTAGATTAAAGTCAGTTGTTAAGCTTACTAAATGTCAAGCGCCTTTCGTGGCTCGTCTGCTCAGTGACGCTCGCTACGCTATTGGCCCAGCTCATGTGAATGTAACCGACGGAACGTCGGATGTCCATTGCCCGTGACGGAGGTTTTCATGGCAAGTGTAAAGTTTGCGCAAAAAGAATGTCTTTTGAAAACGGTTTTTCTTTTGTGCCCTTGCGAGCGGTGTTGTTGGTGGTGCTCAGATTGCTACCTGTCCGTACCCGCTGGCATGAAAAAAGTACCCTTTTCGAACGACCGTTTTCGAACGATCGATAGATCTAAAAACGTCAAGTGTCGCGGCAGGCAACAGCACAACGCAGGCGTGACATTGCCAGGAGGAAATGGCAGGGCCTCAATTGAGGTTCCGGTAAACATGCCGGTTGCATACGCATTCCGCGTGTTGTAGGGGGGAAAGTGCTTTTCACTCTTGAGGATGCACATAGCATGCCGGATCACTCCATGCACGATTCTATCCCTTTCGGCTGGCAGTCAGCTGTTCCAGCTCATTGCTGCCCACTGGACCATCCAAAACACCTGCTGGTTTTTAAGGGGCTACACTACCCAAAAACGTTAATATTTGAACCACTTGTCTGATTTAAATGACATTTACAGGGCTTATTTTTGTTGATGCTGAGAACATTTGTGCCAAATTTTGTTAAGCTGAGTGAAGTACAAAAAAAATTGCAAATGTTCAAAGATGAAAGTGGCGCGTCTGCGTAGGAAAACTATCATTTTGAAATTATATACATTTGTCGTTTTCATGTGTTATTAAGCTGTAGGACAGTTCAGAGCAGATAGCTATGGAGCTATATTTCTATATTGTAGCATCTTTTATGAGAAAAAAGCCACATAAACACAAATACTGTGTTTTTAGATATCCATCCTTTGTCCAAAATTTTAGTTTTTGAGCATGAAAATGGACAAAAATAAAAAATACGAGCTCATAGTTATCTTCCTTTTAAAATTTCACCCCAGAAAATCTCATAAAAATTAATCCAAGTTACGTAATAACAAAACAATAGTTTTTCTAAAGTGAAATTTATGCCAAAAGTGGAATGGAGAAAAATGCATTCAGAGTGCCCAACCCTTACCTTTTCTTTAGCAATGGTGGACCGAAAATAATTTATAAGCAATTTACTATGTAGTGTAAACTAATGAAATTTCCTGGGAATATACTCTAGATGTTGGTGAATGTAAATATGACATTTTTCAAAAGCAACTTTTTTTGCAGGAATAGATTTTTTTGACTGACAGGGTATTAATGCTCGTCGAGGTTTTTATTTGAACATGACCTATAAGAGCCAAGCTACCCAGAACACAATTTGCGGCTCGAAATTCGTTTACTTTCCGCCCGAAAACAGCCGGTGTAAACAGCCAGTCGAGGATTGGCCAATTTCAGTTGCTCTCGCACTCAATTCCATGATGACGTGGCGTTCAAACCACGTGTACCAAATTCAAAGTTGTGGGCTATCAAGACACATATTTAATAGAAAAAATAGAAAAGAATATGAACCCCATTTTTTGTGGCCTTCAAAAAACTGCATATACGTTGATCGAGAAAAAAAAGAAATGTGTTGCAAAGATTTCAGGAAGTACTACATATACACATTATTCTCAATACTGCGACGTATCACGGGCTGGACGTGGGGCCGCTACTTTGGAACTGTTGTTCGCAGAAGGGTATAAGTGCAAAACAATCGAACGACAAACGGTTCACGCAAGTCCGTCGTCATTGTCGTCTCCTTCAGGGGCCGGAAAAGCAGAGTAAAAAAAGTGTGGTCGAGTTGAGCCCCGTGACTTCCTGTCATAAGCTCGACTTTTGGTTTTTATCAGTTAAGTTTTTTGGCTTTATTAAAGATATAAGTGACTGCAGCATAATATTGATTCTCCTGACACCTAAATAAACCGCCTGGTAAAAAATTAAAAAATTTTTTTTGGAGGGGTGTAAGTGTTCTTTTAAAGGCGTTCCGGTTTAAATTAGGGCTGGAACTCAAAGTTTAAGCTTAAAGTAATTGGCAAGTTGAGAGATCAGGGAGAATATGGTGTAGCAAAAGGATAGGTCGAGCACGGTCGTCCACGTTGTATATGGGTGCACGTGTGCGACGAAGAAAATGCAGAAGTGACAAACGGGATGGCACAACCGGACCCGTAGGGTACAAAGCAAACAAGCGAGTGGCAGGCTTTCTTTGTCTCGGAGCGAAGCTCGAGTTTCAACTCGCTGTCACGTGCACCGTTACCTTCATACCGCAGACCTGACGAAGGGCTGTAAAACCATGATGCAAATGGCTATGAATAGCTGAGGAGACTATCAAAACAGAAAATATTGAGCGGTTAAACGCCCAGTGTGTTAGCACCTCCTCTCTAACTTACCGCCGAATACAAAAACCTCACTCCAATTGAGGCACCCCTTCACTTCCTCGAGGAAGACGCGAGGGATTGCGTTGGCCAATCGCGACGACGGATAGACGCCCTAGGCTGCTTATCTGTCGTTGCGATTGGTCAGCGCCGGCCCTCGCACCTTTCTTGAGGAAGTGGAGGTGGCCTCAATTAGAGTGAGGTTTGTGAATTCGGCGGTTAGTCGGGGAATGAGTTATATCACTTAACCACAAGTCAAAGGAGACAGTAGCGGAGTTGTTTTTTTTTAACACACCGAAGAAGAAGAGTAAACGACGACGAAATAAAAGACAAAGTCATTAGTTGGAGCTGCGTGACTGTCTCCGTTTTTGTGTGCCTGTGCAGTTGCACGTCTGCTTTTCTGCTCTGTAATTTTGAGGTTGAATAGCTGTGACGCGAGTGACTGTGACTTGGGTGTATTCCAGTGACTGTGATTTAAGCGATTGAGCGTGAGCTCTGCACTGGAAGCCAACATACTTTGTGACGCGATGGCAAGTGAATCTGCTAGGCTTGAGACTTGGCAGCATTACAACGCGCTAAGTTAGTGGATTCCAAGACGTGCGCCCGTGTCAATTTCAGCTGGGCGTGGACGGCTTCGTGTTCCGAGGCGGCCAGGCGAGGGCCCTGCCATACGGCCAGGGCCGCTGGGCGTCTGCCTTCTTGGGCCGCTACCTGGAGGTGGCCGCCCGCTCGAGCGCCTTTCTAGGCACCCCGGGGGGACCAGGCTTCGTTACCCTGGCACCCCAGCCCTCCACCTGGGCCGCCCTGCAGGGGATCCTGCCCAAGGTGGGTGTACCTGCCGGGTCCGATTTTGGTCGAGGTGAGGGTGAGAGCATGCTTGCCTGCCAATGGGATGTGGTGCCACAGCTTGCTTGTGATCAAAACTCGTTCGCAAGATCACAATCGGGCAGTATTTTGGCGAGATTGTCTCGCCAACGTACGACTGGCAAGAGAGGTCTCGCGCCCTCCGACATGCTTATCCTTAGTTCTGTTTCGTACACCGGCCGATGTCGGCTTGTGTACGTGGGGAAACAACTTGAGATTTCCGAAAGAAGCACAGGTTGTCAATGGTTTCCAACGTGAAATAGCAGACAATGGCAATTCTAGCGGGCGTTCGATCGCATTTCGCTGCGGCACTCGGTTCGTAGCAGATGATCAGCTTTCTTCCCTTCTGTTAGCCGATGACGTACAGCGTTTTCTTGTTTTATTTTCATTTGCCAATGGGGCAAATGATGCTTCATAGCAGACGAACCACATTCTTCACTCGCATTAGCAGACAAACCCTCTATGAATGCTATATTCATTCACTTCACGAGAGGCGAGAATGGGACAATCTCGTTTTCGCTCTCGCGGTGACCAAAATTGGACCCCAGGGGGGGTGAAGACGTGAGAAGAATCCTACAAATCCCGAGTGCTGACATCGGTGGTCCTGCGATAATAAGTGGGAAAAAGAGCGACAGAAGAGCAGAAAAAGAAAGCGGACGATAAGATATGCATGTTAATTGTTAGAGTGCTTGTCAACTTTATTTGTTTTTGTACAATGCACAATGCCGGTGTTTCTCTGCAAAGTTAGCTAAAAAAAAACTAGGCAAAGACATTGCAGGTGATGTTTTCCTGCTTCTTCGTGTATATTAAGGCGTCGCCAGTGATGTGGGCTCATCGGGACCACCCACTGAGACTGCCGATGTCCGCATCTATGCCCCGCTGTTCAGAAGTGGCCAGAATGTGAAACCTTTTTTTCTAGATTATTATATTAACTCTACGCCCTACCCCTCCCTTGTCACCCGAGGCTTATAGCACTGGACAGGTCGGGGCTTGTCATCCAGCCGGGGAGGGCGGTAAGTGTGCGCTAGGGTACTACACAGGCATACTTCTTGAAGTCAGACCCAGAACTGCCAAACCTCTGTCTTACCCGGCCTGGGCCAGCCCCAGTGAGATGCCAACCTGACTGGGCAGAGCCCAGCTGGAGGCGCCTCAACTGGGAGAGATGAAGCACGCCTCAGCCTTTCGGCGAACCGAGATGGGCTTCATCTCTCACAGTTGGCACCTCCACCCGGGCCAAGTCCAGCTAGGTTGGCATCCCATTGGGCCTGGCTTGATTAGGTTTGCATCCCGCCAGGCCAGGCCTGGTTATGTTGGCATCCCGCCAGGCCGGGCCTGGTTATGTTGGCGTCCCGCCGGGCTGGGCCCAGTTAGGTTGGGTCCTGGTCTGGTGCCCGGAAAAGTATGCCCATGCAGCGCTTTAGTTGTGACTACCCTCGCGCTGTATATCAAGAAACTGGGAAAGCGTTTGTTATGTGGGCCTATGTCGTAGGCTTCCTGACCATGATGTGCCGCGTGCACGAAGAGCTCTTTCTGCAGCATCCGGATATAACAGTACAGTGGCTGGAATGCGTCTCTGTCCGGTGCGTTAAGCGTCCCATCTTGCCCATGCATCGAAAGTGGTCTTGAAGTGGCAACAAATGATGTTGTGGGAACTGGCATGTCGCACCGTCCGACGTTGCTATCCTGGCGGTCATTCTCAGAAGTTTTGACAAAAAGTATGAGTGAATGCCAGTTTCGCCGTTGTTGGCACGTCGGAACCCCTGGCTGCTGGAGTGTCCCGTCCGTGGTCTTTTGAACTAGAGAGTGATCCGCAGAAAAATGGGTGTCTGCTGCATGTCGACCTCCGCTGCGGCACCGCCGCCAGGACCGCAGCAGGCAACGACACGACGCTTCCGCGATGTTGGTGCAGAGATCTAGGCACCACATTTGGGGGTGCGGTAAACGCATCGATACGCCTTCCGAACAACGTACTAGTAGCGATATGGTGCGTGGAACGCGTCTCGAACTGGTGTGTTTACCGGTGCTCCTTCGATTTTCCACCCAGTGACGTCGTAGAAGTTTCACATTGTTGCCGGCTGAAATTTTGCCGGTGTCTCAGCGGCGGTTGTGAATGCGGCAGACGCCTGTTCCGCTGCAGGGCACTGTCCAGCTTGACAGACCACAGAAGCTTCGGCAGCCAGGAGTTGGGACACTGCGACGACGGCAACACTCACGTTTGCTCGTACTAGCTGCGTTCAATTTACCTGCATCTCCCGCACCAGAGCAGAAAAGTGTAGGGCAGTGTACTTCCAGTTGGTGTATTGAGATAGGACTGTAAGTACACTGTCCTACACTTTTCTGCACCAGTGCAGGAGGTGCAGGTAAATCGAACGCAGCTGCTTTTTGCCGGCACTTCTAACACCAACTGGCAGGATCACGACATACGACAAGACGACATGCCGCCTTCCGGGACGTCATTTGTTGCCGCTTTGGGACCTTTTTTGATGTGTTGGCGGGATAGGGCGCTAAACGCGCCAGTCGAAGACTCGTTCCGGGCAGCATGATAGCGGCGTACGGACGTGTAGCAAGCGTGCCCCGTCCGCAGGTGCTGACCCTGGGCTTGCTGGGCCACCGGGTGGTGAGTCCTGGCTGCGTCGGGGGCGACCTGGTGGCGCCCGGAACCAAGCCCGAGCGGGAGCTCTACTTCCGCTGGTGGCAGCTGGCCGTCTTCATGCCGGTCCTCCAGTTCTCGGTCCTGCCCAGCGACTACAACGACGACTTTGAGCTCACCAAGGTGAGCACCGACCTGGATTTAGAGCTGCGTCGTCGTTCGGCACGAACTCACAAAAGAGAACCCGCGCTTTCTGGCGCAAAAGATGGACTCCACATGATCCTACTGAAAAGCGCTTTGAGAGCGCACGCTGTCTGCGCGCCCGACCACGTGCTATGTTCTCCGCGCTACTCCACGCCAGATTGGTTGCGCTGGCTCGTGTCATTCGCTACGGTTCATCTCAACGGAGTAGAGGAACAGGTGCATATTTGCACACGTTCGACTGTGCAGCAAAGGGCCCGTGTTTCGCCGTACATTTGTCATTTTTCTGCCGTGGTGCCGTGCAACGTGAGCCCGCGCGCATTCGCTGGGGACGAATTATCTGATGCGGAGTCTTCCCGAATTCGAACTATCAAACTTTTCCTCCCGTAGAAATGTATGGGTGCTCGCCAGGACTTTTAAACACGATTTGGTGTTTAAATGAAATCGAATTAAATGAAAAATTGAATTAACCGAGGTCGAACTAACAAAAGTTTACTGTATATGTCTTCTGTTCACTTTAATTCTTTTACATGATTTTATGGTGCTGAAGAAATAAAAATAGCTTTAGCTTGTATGGCATTTCTTTAGGAAACAATTGACACCTTTTTTTATTAAAATTTTAATAAGGTTTTTTAAAACCCATCCTGAAATTAGCTAATTAATATTTAATTTTGTTGGTAACTTTTGACAAAGAAGAGATATCTGACATTTGATAGCAGTCATGGAATCAGCATAGAAAACTGCATGCCTGTGCAAAAAATCACAGATAGACCATTAAACAAAAAATATTTTTTGAGTAACCACTTCCTCCCATTGTGATTTTATCAATATTTCACTCCTTCTTTACTTTCATATTTTTTTTTCTTCTAATTTTCCCAGGAATGGTTTACATGATTTTTAATGTCAAGTTGTTCAGGAAGACTTAGACTACACCTTGATAGCAATTATTATTTATTATTCTTCACACAATTTTTAATGTTGAATGTCAAAACTTAGACTGATTTTCTCATCTTTGTGTTTTTGTCAACATGCTTAGCCTTACGGGGGTTTTCATGAGGCTTTTATTGTAGCATTTTGAAAATTTTAATACTGTTTTTTTATAGACAGGGGCAACGTTCCAATATTTACTCTATCTCACTTTAGTAGGGTAAAGGATCCTTGACTGTTCAAAAACCTACCCGCATCCAGCATTCTCTATTTCTGTTGTCACATAATGTGATCTGCCGGAGTAACTGGGATACATTAGGGCACTTGAGTAAGCTTCCGAACACAGCCAGGATATGTGAAACGGGAACTGCGGAAACTTCAAAAAAATAAAATGCTCCGCAGGACGTGCGCGGCGGTGCATATCGCGCATACTGCGGAGAAAGCAAACTTGCCGAGCGGTGCGGGCGGCATGAGTTCCACCCTCGCATGGACAAAACGGGGCGGGCGCGTCGATTACGTTATCGGTACGCAGCAATTTGTCTTCATGCTTCGTTTCTAGAGGTATACCTTAAACAGCTTTTTCTTGCATTTAATCTAAATTGAAATTTCTTAACGTGCGTGGCGGGCCTCTCGAGGTTTTTCGTCTAGAGTGGGCTCGTGTCGCACTGCGGGTATACAAACGGCAACGGGAAATTGAAATTCGTTGGTTATATCCATACTTTCGCTATTTCCGAGTTCGTTATAAGTGGGCTGTACCGTACTATGGATGAGAATGGCGGCGTCTCATTACCCTTGAGCATGCACACGCAGCCTGAGCAAGGTCTCTGGGTATCTGCTCCACTTTATTCCACTGATTCAAAAACCAGGAGAGGTTCCTAGAATGCCAATTGAGAGAGAGCGGCATTCCTTGAGACGAAAAGTTTGTCGCACTAGGGCGTGTGCACGCACGGTGGGCAGAGGCAACGTCGCCTAGAACAATTGAGGCCTGCAAAAGTCTTCCTCTTGCTCCAAAACGTCGTCACTGTCGGACGGTGCCATCTCGGCAACTGGACCCGAGCACGATGGCGAGCGTCCTTCGACGCCTCGATTGGACACGAGACCCAGCTGACGCAGCACTCGTGTCCAATTTGTATCCGCGCTGGATCTCTCTGCTGCGGCAACTTCGAAATAGGCCCTTTTCAAAATGCGGTGCCCTCTGGGGGTTCCAAAAAGCAGCTTCAATTTCGACAAACTAACGGCAGTCACGAAACTGTATTTCATCGGGCACCATCACTTTCGTGCGTTAGTGGCATACCAGAATTAGTTCTTGAACGTCTCGCGATTCTTTCTCGATTTGTTTCGGTTTCGACAGAGTGAACGTAAGAACTGACTGGCACGATGTGGCGACTCCCGAGCCCCTCGATTAAATTTGTGCCATTAAAAGGCATTTGAGCTTAACTTGTGCCGAGAGATTGATTGGACCGCACTTATGCAGCCATTGTATCCGATTCGTGCGTCGTGTTTGTACCGAGGACGTGATTGTGCAGTCTTTTTGTATCCTCCGCTCAGTAATATCTTCAGCCATCAGTGATCAAAGTTGCCAGACTGGATTTCGAAAGGGGCCTATTATAGCGCGCAGGCTTCGATTATTCTAGGCGCAATCGATAGAGGGCACTCCCTCCCTCCGCGCAGGTGTCCCGGGTGCTGACGCAGTTCCGCAAGACCCGGGTGGAGCCGGCTATCCGCGAGGCCTTAGAGGAGCCCGGGGCGCCCATCGTGCGCCCGCTCTGGTGGCTGGACCCCCGGGACTCGAACACCTACGGGGCGGGCCACCAGTTCGCCCTGGGCCGCAACCTCATCGTGGCCCCCGTGCTGGAACCCGGCCGCAACTCGGCCTACGTCTACCTCCCGCAGGGCTGGTGGTGCGAGGATCAGAAGCTGCACCGGGGCGGCAAGTGGATCAGCGTCGTGGCACCCCTCGAAAAGGTCACCTACTTCAGCCGCTCGGACAAGTGCTAACCCCGCCCGGACGCACGTTCGACGCGGCTTCGCAACGTGCGCCGTGGTGCCTGGAACGCACCTCCAACTGAGGAGTTTACCGCGTCCTAAAATGCGGTGCCCTGATTTCCGCGCGACGACGTCACAAAAGTGTCATGCTGTCGCCGGCTGCGACCCTGGCAGTGTCACAGCAGGAGTGGCGGACGTGGCGGATGCCGTTTTCTGATGTAGTCCGCTCTCCAGCTTTACAGTTCGCGAAAGTTTCGGCAGCCAGGAGTTGGGACACTGCGACAACAGCGGCACTTGCATTTGCTCTTACATTTTGCCGGAACTTGCGTGCCCAACCGTCAAGATTACGACATCCGAAGGCACTTGGTAACGTCATTCGTTGCCACATCGGGACCACTTTCGATGCCACTGCTATGTGCACTGCGCTCGTTTGCTTCGGGGTGGTGCCATGGTGCCGTCGTGACTGAGGTCTCCCGGCTTTCTCTTGAGAACCGGACGGTGCATTTGGAGTGCCGTCGAGGAGACGCGACGAGATAGGCGTCGACGGCTCCGGGCAACTAAAGCGAGAGCTGCAAACCGGTCCATTCATCAGCATCTGCTACACTTCGTGGCCGTGACCTTTCCCCAGGCTCTGCGGTGGACTCGCATGCCGTAAGATGCCGATCTTGCTCCCGTCTCCCGACGAGCATCCACCCCAGACTTCCGAGCCCACCTGGTCAAAACTTAGCGTGCAGGTGGAAAGTGGCGAAGCTTCTCCTATCTCGGGCTCCTTTCGCATTTTCCCTCTTGAACCTAACGAGTGCCCGTCCCCCAATTTCTCGAGATTATTCCTAAATTTTGGGTGGGTGCTCTCTCGGTATTTTGGGGTAGTCCACATCGGGAGAGTGGTTGGCAGCCATCATCCCGGCATGCGTTGGGAGGGAAAGCGGTGAAGCAGCCTTTGGGACAATGTGCATTGACCATGACCCGTCCGGACGAGACGCACTCGACGAGCTCCAGACGAGACGCAGCAGTGTGCACTGGTGAGGAGGATTCGCATTTGTGGCACGCGCAGCTTCCAACAATACGAAAGACCCATTTTCCGAGACAGTTTATGGGGCGGTGCTAAGCACGCTTTGGCCTTAGGCACCATATTTTTTAGAGTGACGACGAAACGAAGGTTTGTTTATCTTTTACACCTAGCGGTCTGGTCACGTCCAGAGCAAAGCCTGGGTAGCCTTTTGAAATTGCATTGTCATATGGGTCTTTTATATCGTTGAAGACTGTACGCTTGTGCCCTTCCTCTTTCCCTTAACATGCACCCACATTCCCAACGTGCTAGCATCTGAAAGTGGCCGAGGAATGGCCGGCACTTCTCCGGGCAGACGGGCAATAGTGCCCTTTGGCACCGTCTTCGGCGGGACGTTGCGCGAGATTCGACAAGTCCGGGCAAAGATTGCCCAGAAACGTGTCCGTCCTGACTGGTAGTGTGTGACCCGTCCTGACGTGTCTTTGGGCAAGTCTCATCGACAAAGTATCTGCTGCCACTTGTCCGACCCGGTTGGACACCCGACAATGTCTAGCGTTGCATCTGATGCGGGGGCTGCTCAATCTATTATTTACAACCTTGTTCGAACCCGAGGCAGCTCACGGACCACAACACGTCCCGTCTACTCCCGACGAGCCTGTACTCTGAGAAGCATTTTGTACTCCTGACGAAACTGTATTGTGAGTGTGTGTGAACCTTTTCGTGAGGCCTTGCGAGCGTTTTGTACTTTGAGTGTACCTATGCGATTGAGATCGCAGACGTGCTGGGGGCATTCGAGAGAAACGGATAGTTTTAAGCGACGTAAATTAACAAAACCACGTATAGTCAAGTTGGCGGCAGGTTAAAAGTTCAGGGGAGACTCCTCCCACCTCTTTCCAGTTTAGCGGAGCGAACACTCCATTAAAGTGTAAAAAGGTGGAAGGAGCTTCCCCCAAACCCTTAACCTGTCACCAACTATAGGTCAGCTCGTCGGTTATTGCACTACGGCATGCCTAATTCCTGACTCCAGATACATTCTTTTTTTTTTTTATTTGGGGACCAGCGAGTGTTTCTGGGTGTTTCTACGACTGTTCATGCTCGATACTCCTACACTAAAAAAGGTCTCTTCATCTGCCATTATATATTTTTCGACATTTTCTTTCCAGAAGAAATTTTTTCTGCCTACTTCTGAGGTTGTTGCAGCCATACCTGTAAAAAGTGCACTTTCAATACGCTGTCAGTGGAGGATAGCAGAGAAACTACTCCTACAGCCACAGAATGAGTGATCTTTGTTACTAATTAACCAGTCTGGCACGTTGCAGAAATATAAACTTGCTCATTAGGAGTGTCAGCAATACTGCGTTGCTTCAGCAACCATAGCGTGCATCACCTCTTAAGTTTTAACTGAAACACGCTGTATTGAACATGGGCATAAAATCCTATTTTCAGTATATAGGATGTTTGCCTTTAACACTAGATTGCCCCTTCAATTTTCGCATCTGGGGCATTCTGTGTACAGCAGAGGCACATACAGCATTAGGATCATCAAAGCGAAAATTATGACTCGCGTGCTAATGCTGTTTGGTATTCTAGTAAGATTTTCGCTTCTGCTTTCATTTTGTAAGTTTTATATCTGTAGTGAATTTAATGCTCGTTTCTGTAAAATAGCTTTTCACCCCTTCTAATTGCATGCATGTGAAAGGGAATCGCAGCCTCCTTGTTATCATGGCCTCTGTGTCTTTTCTTCTGGTTGAAATGGTAGTTTATAATAAACAATAGCACGGAGGCTTGGGAACAAAATATTTTGTGCTACATTGTCAAGGCTAGCGTAGCCTCCACAGGGCTGCTGCACTGGTGCAAAGGCACTCATCTTGCGTCTCCTCTGCATACGCTCATGCTACTATCTTTGACAGAGTAGAAAGAAGCACTGCAGACGCTACGCTAACCTTGGCAACATAGTGCAAAATAGTTGATGCTGAGTGTAGCCTTTTTCAATCAAAAGACTGATTACGCGATTCTTTGTTTGTGCCATCTTCATATTTTGCTCATTGTAATTTTTTTGTTGTTAAAATTGAAATTTTTTCATTGTCCACATACTAGTGCTATTAGAGATTACACAAAGTGCAATCTCTAATAGCACCAATGTTATCAGAGACGTCTGAAAAAAAATGTGTTTACATTATGTTTTCATGGACTACTGAAAAAAAAATGCAGGCTATGCATCATTCTAATATTTAGAAATCCAGATCCCGGCGTGCAGTCTCCGCACCTTAAGCATGTGCCTGTTCATCGCTTTTGAAAGCAAGCGAAGCATGTACCTTAAGGGGTATTCACACTAGGGAGAAATCCCGGAGATTTCAATCCCGAGGATTTCTCCATGGCGCGTGCGCATCACGAGACGAAAACGCGAAGCTTTTGCACATCGCAAAACCTGACGTTTTCGTCGCGAGATGTGCGTTCCGTGGAGAAATCCCCGGGATTTCTCCCTCGTGTGAATACCCCTTTGCACACAGACGCTGAAAACAGAACCACCGAGATGCCCTTTACTTTGGCGGTCTATACGCAGTATTGTAGCACACTCTAGATGCTAGGCATGCAGCTCGGACATTTGGTCTGGTAACAAGAGAGCAGCTATGGTTTTTTCAGGTCTAATTTTCAATAGTAGTCGTTTTGCTTGTTCCGTAAACATGTTTTTTCTTTGTGTATTTTGCAACATACCAAGTGATGATGTCATTCTTGTTTGTCAGCAGAGTATGATCACAATTTTAGCATGTCTGCTCGCGAGACATTCCAGACATTTTTGTGCTGCTATAGCAAAGCTGTTTTGTGCATTGTACAGAGTCCCCCCCCCAAAAAAAAAATGTACAGGTTTCTTATTTTTTTAACAAAAAAAAATATACTACGCATCGCCAAACACTCATCCTTTGCCGAAAAGTAGCACTAGTGGTTCGAACCAGATATCAAAGTTTTAGAGCTAACCGTTATGTTTTTAAAAAGTTATAAGTGATTTTCAAAATTTTTCTATGGGAAAATGGCGGCCAGTGAAATACATGGAGCTGAATGGTGCCAGTTACCAAGAACGGGCCCTATTTTCCCATTGAAATTTTTCAGAAAATCGCTTGTAACTTTTGAATGAGGTGACGGATACTTCTGAAACTTTGGCTTCTGGTTCGCACTGCTAGCGCCACATTTGTGCAGAGGCTAAGTGTTTGGCGATGTGCTGTTTATATTTGCAGTGAAAAAAAACTGAATATTTTTTGGGGACAGGGTGTACACGCCTTGAATGTGTAAAAATACCCAGCACTTCCTCAATACGTTTGGAACTGGCGTTTGGAACTGGCATGGGTCTACGCTCTGAAATTACCTACAACACCTAGCGACCGACCGCTTCACATCTCAGCTTCTCTCTGGGTTGTCCCTCGCTTTTTGCGGTGTCATTCCGAAATTTCAGTTTATGACTGCATGTAGAAAATAAATGTCAACTTAATGCGTGGTAGCTAATATGGGGATGCTGTTGTGAACGAGGTAGAGGGGCTTAGAGTGATAAGCTGGCAGCTGAAAGTGACCCCCCATTGGCTGCCGCCATGTTGCACATTTTTGACCACTAGACATGTGACCTTATAGTTTTAGGTCTAGACATGCAAAAAAATAGCGCATTTCAAAAAAAAATAAATTTCCCCACGCGCTCGCGCATTTTTTTATTTTTGGCGCTTTTTCTCCTGCTCCTCACCTCCTCGTGACTTCAAATATTATGAAATTTAGAAGCTTTGTAGGCGACATTTCTATAACATTTAATAACGGCGATCGTAAAACATGTTTTTTAACGCAATTGCGAATGCACTAGTGCCCTTCTTTTTGAAATACCAAAAATCAGAGTCCGTTGTGATGTCGCCTCCCGGGTTTTTATCCTCCCTCGGAAAACATGGCTGATCGGCGAGTCGGGGAATCGGACGAAGTGGTCTTTTTTAGGTGCCCGACGACCTCTCAGACATCGAGGTAATAAAGTGAAGTGAAGTGAAAAGGAAATCGTCAAACGGTTGGAACAACTGGGCTTGGTGTCTGTGTATCGTAGTTTTCGTTGCGACTCCGCCGGGACAGCTTTTCACGCGGAAGCGGCGAGACGTCAAGCGTCGTCTGCTCGCAGCGATAGGCAAGTGGCACGGCACGCACAAAGGAAACCTGTTTTTCCCTGTACACTAGCGCTCTTCTCTCCTGCTCCTCACCTCCTCGCTTTGGGTCGCGGCGACAACGGCGGACAACGCTTACACACACACATTCGGAGCGGAGGCGTGAAAGAAAGTCGACTCGCAGGGCCGCTTAATATTTGACGTCACTACACTGGCGCGGATCACGCGCGACCTTCAAATTCGGCATTTGGAAACTGTTTTTTTACTTCAGAAATACTAAATTCCCAAGTATCGAATTTTGAGGGTAATGTCCAGACATTGTTTTCAATCGTTTCGGATAATTAAAAAAAAATGATTTTGATGTCCAAAATGTGCTTTTACGGCAAAAACTCTGGCAGCTTTGCAATGCCTTTGCTAGATGCTGTCAGCCACTGCTGTAGTTTGGGTTTTTATCAGAGCTAGACACTGACCCTTGGGGCCAACAGTACTGAAAAAATAGTTTTTCATGATTTTTTTACAGCGATCGCAATACAAATCTCGGTTCAGTTTTGCGTAAAAGCCTCAGGATTTGGTATGGTCACATGTCTAGTGGTAAAAATTTTACAACATGGCAGCAGCCAGGTGGGGGTCATTTTCGCCTGGTGAATGCCAGTTTATCGCTCTAAGCCCCTTTACCTTGTTGGCTGTTCTCTACTTTTTCCAATGCTGTCAAATGTTGGCACCTCCCATGTCGAGAAGGGCCCAGAGAGCCCAGATAGAAGGGAGAGAGCAGCTTAAACTACAGAGAGCGTTTGCAATTTCACGGCGGACGCCTCCTGCGTTGATTGGTCGCACGTGCATCGCGTTGTCGCATGGCGAGGAGAAAAGCAGGCGGAGATGTTTGCAGACGATGGACGCTTTCGTCGCCTCATCGCACCTTGTTCTGCAAACGCGGCCCATAAACCACGTGACCCCGATCGAGCAGTTAGAAACGCTTCGTAATCTAGGTACATCAGAAGCGCTGCTAGGGCTCTAGGTCAACCTGCTTGATTTAAACACCTGTTGCCATGTTATCAAACGGTATCAGAAGAACCGAGGCCTACAATTTTACTGCTATGTTTGGTTGAGAAATGTTTGGTCTTGTTGCCTTGTTACAGGCGGCCTCTACCTGTTTAGCTGTTGTTTTTTTTTGTGCACACTGCCCACGTCTTGTTGCAGCTTTATTACCTCTGTGGTAAAAAAAGTGTGCGGGGTTACACTAGCTGTTGCGTTTTCTTCGTCTCCTGCACGACTCCGTAGTGCCTCCGTTTGACTTGCCCAGGACATATTTCCTGACACTTTTGGACAAGAAGAATGCCAGATAATGCTGTGCAATCACTTTGAAAGTGTCGCTGTTGCTATTTGTAGTATACCTACTGTATCTGATTTCCTGGGCTACTGGGCAAGAAATTCAGTGGCACCCGGCATTCATTCCTTGTTCAACACGACAAAGTGTTGAAGATATTTATCGAAATGAGCTCGGAAACCGTTCTCAAATAAAGTAAGGTGTCTCGTTTATTATACTGTCAAGCATGCAATCTGTGAGGTCGACACGTTCAAGCCCAAGACTGCCAAACAATTTAAAATTGCTACCTGGGTTAACTGAAAAGAATATTTTTGAAATAATATTCAATTTAAAGATTTTTCAAGGCTGCTACACACTTTGCAGACTATTTTTTTATTCCCTTCCCCCCCCTTCCCCCTCTTTTAGATTACTTTTACTCGTGTAAATAAGAGTAAAATGGCCACTCAGCTTTTGATTTGTGCCAGCTGAGTAATCCGCAAGCAATTGGCGTTATTGAGGTTTCTCGGAAACGGCGTTGAGTGAGTTTGTGACCATTTTGATAATGTAGATGAGCATTGCATTTTCATAACTTGTTTGATAGGCCAGCTGTAGCTGCGACGGAAGCCTTGGA